CAGTGTAACAGAGTTACGAGCTGTCTTGGTCCCCGCCCAGCCCTGCTGGATGGCTCTGTGTGGGTGGGGTGGGGGGGTGGGTGTGCAAAACCTCGATATAAAACTTACACTCACTATTTTATTCGAAAATATAGGTGAGTTCCACAATATCATATTTCTTATCATTTACTACTAAATGCTGACCAGCATTATTAATCTTAAAAAGCCTGCGAAGAAACAAGTTAGTTTTAGAATATTTGATCTATTACTTTTATATCTTTATTCCACTACTCGGTGATTTAACGAATATACAGATAATCATAGTTAGCATCATCTATCGTGATGTATTTCGTATAAGGACATTCTAATGTACCGGATGTCTCAAAGTTATAAGACCTCTACCTCCTTCAGTTTTGAGAACAATAAAGTTTTCTTCAACTAAAGTAGGTTTCATTCCCAATCTAATATTATATCCGTGAAGACATAGCAGCAATGCATCATGTGCCATATTGGTTTGAATTTCATCGATTAGCATTAATAAATTCAAAAACTTTTGGATTTCAACTGCCGCATAATTATAAGACCTCCCCCTCCTTCTAAATATAAAAATATTGAATTAATGCTAACTTTGTCATCTGAAATGATTCTTTTTATGATCCATTCGAAAGAGAAGACACTCAGCTATATGCTGAAACAAAATAAATTGACCAAAACTAATTTAACTTTCCCACCGTTTAAGAAATTAAGCGATAGAAAAGTTAAATCTCAAAACTATCACTATGTAGTTTGACAAAAATTTATCTTCACTTCTTGAATGTGACGAAATTAAATTTAAAGTATAGAATTGGATAGAGAATCAAAAGCTGCATAGACTATATATGTTTTGAAAAAAGTCTTTTAATGTCTTAGTAATTGTGACAAGATATACGAAATGTCTTTTTTTAGACATTATGTGAAAAACGTCTGTTTTCGTGAAAAAAGCCTCTGATTTCACATAAGCAAAGCATATAATTTTGTTTCCAACGATATCAATAGAAAGAGCATCAAATTCTGCACCCGGCAAGCTATTTTTGCGTTTTCGTAAATTGGTTCAAAATATCTGAAAACACGGTGTCACAAAGTGGACAAAGCGATGTCTCATTCTGCTGAGGAAAGAAGATATGTTGGTGATAGTTAAAAAGAGATCTTTTCAAGTCTTTTGAAATTGACTTTTGACAAGGAAAACATAGCCTATCTTGTGTAGAATTTGACGCTCTTTCTATTGATATCGTTGGAAACAAAATTATATGCTTTGTTTATGTGAAATCAGAGGGTTTTCTCACGAAAACAATCGTTTTTCACATGATCTCCAGAATAAAAGATATTTTCAATATCTTTTCACAATTACTAACAACTTGAAAGCTTTTTCTCAAAACATATATAGTCTATGCAACGTTTGATTCTCGATCCAATGCTATACTCTAAATTTAATTTCGTCACATTCAAGAAGCGAAAGTTTATTTTTGTCAAACTACATAGTGATAGTTTTGAGATTTAACTTTTCCACCATTTCATTTCTTAATCGGTAGGAAAGTTGAGTTACTCTGAACAAATTTATTTTGTTTCGGCATATAGCAGAGTATCTTCTCTTTCGAATGGATCATCAAAAGAATCATTTCAGATGATAAAGTTAACATTAATTCAGTATTTTTATAGTTAGAAGGGGGACGGGGGGGGGGGGGGGGGGTCTTATAATTATGATACAGTTGAAATTCGAAAGTTTTTGAATTTATTAATGCTAATCGATGCAATTTAAACCAATGTGACACATGATACACTGCTACTATGTGTTCATGGAGATGATATCAGCTTGGAGATAAAGCCTACTTTAGTTGAAGAAATCTTTATTGTTCTCAAAACTGAAGGGGGTGGGTGTCTTATAATTTTGAGACATCTTATATATAGAAAAGTGCGTCGATTAACATGTAATACAGACATATATTTAGGTTCCACACCCGTTTTAGGTAATAATAGGAAGACTATTTTAAAAAACATTTCCTCTTGCATTTTTCTCGAAATTGATTTTTTTGATAATGATCGAACCGCGAGGAAATTCTTGAACGAATAGTAAAAGAAAGAAAGGAGAAATGTCGAAGAAAAATATAGGCAATATCGGAAAGAACAACATCGAAAGGAAAGCATCGAAAAATAAGAACACAATGGAAAAGAAATTAGCTGCGAGGTCACTGAAATGAGCCGATTGAAACGTTCTTCTATGTTTGGCTCGTTCTGTTATCATATTCATTTTGCTAGCTCTGAATACGTACAGATACTAGCGTAATTGATAATTACGAATCGTCGATAATTTGTTTTTCACTGATATTCTGTTAAATAGTCTGTTTTATTTTTAACTAATCAAAAGTCGTCATTAATTCGAAAATGGAATAGTTTTTAATTGCTTTCAAATTGACTTGAAACAATTCCTTTTTTGATACGTTTTATTTATGTATGGGTAATAATCGACCAACCGGCGATTCCTTGACTTCATTATAGATAATATGAGAACTCAATCTAATCAGGTATCATTTTTGTTGTCCCAAAAAAGTAAAATTATTATTAGTGATTGACAATTTCATATTTAAACTGAATAAAACCACTAGTATAGGAAAACAGCATCGAGGTGAAAACAATAATTGAACAGTGACTTTACACAAAACTGTAAATGATGTTGTAGTGAGAACTAAATGCGACCATTGTCATTCATCTAAACCTGGACAAATTGATATACGAATCTTCAAACAAGTTGATAAAAAATGTGCTGCGAAAGAAACTACTTACTTGAGTATCAAAACCAGACAACGAAGAATCGTCACGATTCTGTTCAACATCATTAGCAATTGGTATTCTTCCATCACAGAGAGAAATGGGTAATGAATGTTTATTTTCATTTTACTGAAGGAACTTCTTTTGAAGTAGTTCACTGAATCAAGCTAGACATCTTCAAACAATTGTTTTTTCTGATTCTCATGTTTTTGATTAAGCTGAAGCTTATGCAACAACATTGAAAAATAAACGATTTCTTTCTGTTGATAAAACTATAGAAAGAAAAGCGCGTATGTTGTTGTGCGCATCACGTGAACAATTAAGTTTGTTATTTGAAAGTTCGAATATCTTAATGGGTGGCACATTTAGTGCCTCACAATCGATATTCGAACAAGTTTATAGTCTTCACGCTATAAAATATCAACAGCATGCATAGAACTCGATTTTAGCAAAAAAACTTTATTGGTCTGATGTTTTCTAGACTTTGTATGCGCTTTTGGTCCTCTTTTTGAAAAAAAGAATCAACTTATTAATTTCTTTTTCGTTAATTGCAACGTATAGCTGTTGATACGAGTATCAATTTCAATCCTGCTACTGTTATGTCGGGTCTTAAATCTGCGTTATCGTCTGGTTTTAATAATGAAGTAAGCATTATCTTTTTCGATTTCAAGAGGCATTGATATATTTTATTACATTTTGTTTCTTAATTGTAATCATATAGAACGTTACTTTATTTTTACACAGGTTGTTTATTGTCATATCTCAGAACTTGGTTGATCGAGCGAATATGCGAATAGTGAAGATGTTCGGATTATTTGTAGAAAAATTATGGCTCTTTTGTTCATGCTTTTGTCTTTGGTCTTATAAGCTTTTGATGCTTTGTGTGAATCACTTTTTCAAGCATCATCAGAAAAAAATGATTCACTAAAACCTTTGCTTTATTAATTTGAAAACTAATGGATCAAAAATAGTTCATATAAAAGACGTGAAATGGATATAGATTACAAATAAGAACGAGCAATAATGCTGAAGGTTCGCAAAATGGTTCAGAACTACGATATTTTAGTGATAATTCTATGTTTCTAGTATTTCATAGTCGTCTAAACTATAGATTAATAAAATCGCATGCAAACATATGGGCGTTTGTTAAGTGTATTCACGGAGAAGAAAACAGATTTAATTACTCAGTGATCCAAATGAACGGTGATCTTTCAACTTGTCCAATAACAATTCAAATAAATGCTATACAACAAAGACTCAATACTTTATATTCACGTTATGAACATGGTGATATTGATGCTAATGAACTTTTCGATGAACCATCGTATGCTATTGCTAAAAATATTGTATAACAAAGATAAATCATTATTATCTGATATTGAGTGTCATTTTATTTAGACGTATGTCATGAACTTTCATGTTCTTGTTCTTTATTTAATAAATTTTTTTCGATCTTATGAAACATGATGATGAAAACGATCTTTCTTTTAAATCGATATTCCTTCTTTTCAATATTCTTCTTTTTCGCCATTCCTCCTTGTCGACATTTTTCTTTCGATCTTTGTCGTTCTATATTTTTCTATTCGATAATTTTTTTCGATATTTAATCTTTGAATATTTTTCCTTTCGATATTCTTCATTTCTATATTTTCGTTCCACATTTTGGTTTGCGACATTTGTCTTTTCTTCAGTTTTCCATCATGCCATTTCTTTCAATACACTTTAATCTAGAGAGCCGTATGTTTTCATCGCAAGATACATCCATCGTCTTTCGGATGAAGAAAAGGAATTTTCTAGTCGGTCATCAATGCTAGAGAAACCCTGGGTTTTTGGAGAAAACCATGCCTTAGACCTGTAGTTTTTTTAAAATTAAGTGATTCTCAAAATGCAATCAAAAAAGAATTACAAAACCAAACTCTTTTCCTCATCCGAAACAGTAATGAGTTCTCTCACAAATGAAAGCAAGCCGAATTCTGTATCTCAAAGTATATTACAAAAAAAAATTAGTACGAATAAAAACCCTAGTTCACAGCTTGGGCTCTGCAAACTTCTGAAGAAGCGATTAGATGCGTTCGGAGAGTATCTCCGAAAACTGCATTAAATGCTAGCATATGAGATATAGGAGATATAGAGATATAGGAGACATAGTAAACAGTGATTTATTTTTTATGATTCATTTTTCCGAGCAAGGATCGGCAAGTTGAATCAATATATCTGAATGGATCGCTATTCAAAGTCAAATACTATATAAAGAGTATCTGCACTAGTTAATGAATATCTCCAATATCTCTATATCTCCTATATCTCCTCCCTCGATGTTTAATTGAGTTTCCGAGGAAACTCTCACAACGCATCATATGGAAACAGCACTCTGAAACAAAAATAAGGTGCCATACAGAACCATTTTTCCAAGGAAAGTGAAACCTTTTTTTGGAGGTTTCGTAAAAATCCAAGACTCGGCCAAAAGGATCACCCAAACTTTAGGAACCTTTTTTAAGATTTCAAAGGTTTCGTACCAATCTTCAAAAAAGTTTCGTTTTCTTTGCAAAATTCGATACCTTTTCTAAGTTCCGTACCATATGCAAAACTCTTTTTAAGTTCTGTGCCGTGTTCGAAACTTTGAAAAAGTTTTGTAGCGCACATGAAACCATTTTGGTTTCCTACGGTGCCTTCTTTTTTTTTGAGAGCCCGGTATAGAGATGTGGAAATTTTTTCACTAATGCACTTCTATGAGCCCAGAATATATGCAAAGTTCCATCAGTATCTCTTGTACCGTCTCAAAGTTAGATTTTTGAAGGAAATTCCCTTAAGGAAATAAGTTAATGGAATAGAATACGAGGCTAGAATGAGTGCTTAGATGAAGGGATACATTAAGAGATTAGAATAAGAGGGTAGATTGAGGAAATAGGTTTATGAGTTACATGAAGGGCATGCGTATAGATTAAGAAAGAGATTTAAGGATTAGATTCAAGGTTTAGAGTGCCAGGTTGGTTTAAGAGATTAGGTTTAAAATGTAGATGTTGATTTGCATGGATAAATTTAGCGGATAGGTTTCGGCGATATTCATCTGCATATGTAGATAGTGATAAATATAGTAGCCGTATGGACATAGACTAACGGATTGCGATCGATCTACTAGTATTGAATTGGACTCAGTACGAAATTTTGAGTTCAAAACCCTTTCTAGAACGAAATGAAAATGATTTCGCACGAAACCTTATTTTCCAAAAACTTTTAAAAGTTCTCAATTTCATTGCAAAATTCGAAACCTCTATCAAGCTTTGTATGGTACCATTTTTGTATCAAGTGCGGAGCCATAACATTCGTAAAACTCCCGGAAACCCTCGCATGCCAGCCGACACACGCGAAACAGCATTTCAGACTTCCATGAACTCGCGTGTCGAGGCATAATTTGCACATCAGTTGATGTCCTATGATGCCTGCTATCGGATGAGCATCTAATTTTCTCCCAATAAACGAATATGCAAGAGCTGCAAGGAGGTTCATGGGTCAATTGCCCTATTCAATCTGTTTTTTCCCACTTTTAGCTATTTTCACCACTTTACATCGTTTACCGTGGAAGCATGAGCTGTTCAATCGATAGCGCACATCATCATGCATCGACTGATGCTAAGATTATGCCACAGCAAACAAACACGTCATAGTTGAAAGGGAGTTTAATGCCACACTGATATGCTCATGACTTTTTTCTGCCAGTTTTCACCATTGTTCAGCACCATTGGTTTTTTTCTGAGAGAGAATTACGTGTACTTTCGATAGCAGATATCATTCTACATCGATTGGTATGCAATCTTCGCCACGAGAAATGATTTGATAGTAAATGTTAACAATTGTACATGTGGATCGATACAAGAGTTTGGGCTGTATTGCAGTTTTTTATTTTTTTGTACTGCAGACTTGTTGCTGGTACAGGAGGATTTAATTTGCGGATAAAGAATAGAGTTCTCCATGGAATGATTTATTATATATTCTTCGGGAATGCTAGTGGCGATCGATATGGAGGTATCATCGAAAATTGCTGTGAGAGTAGATTTCGCTGGTAGTGCACTCTAAAAAAAATATGTTTATTACTGAACCTTAAAAGTTTCGTTCTTAGGTATGAAACTCTTAGGTTTCATAAGTTTAAAGCCGTTTCATACTTTTAGTTCAAAACTTTCTTTGGTTCAAAAGACTTCAATGAGTTCAATATTTTCCATTGTGAACCATTTCTAGGTTCAGAAAAGTAGCATAGTTTCTTATGTTTCATACCAAAGTATCGTGTTCTCGTAAGATGAAGAAAAGAATGCCGTATCTCCCTATGCAACTTCACATGATTTGATAGGATGAGAAATGGTTGTATGTGAGTGTCACAGACCATTCGATAGTTCCAATCGAACCAAAAGGGTTTCGTACTTTTTCTATGGAACCTACTGTATCTGGTTGATTCAGTGAAAGATTCCGTAGTGGTTTCATGAAACTTTTAACAGTTCAGCAGAATGTAAGCTGATATCGTATTTTTCTCAGTGAACCATTTCCGTACTTTGCGAAAAGAAAAAGGTTCCCTATATTTTCTACAAAACCTTCTGCGCGAACTGTTAGTGTCAAAGGTTTTCTTCGAAGCTTGTTTTCGTGCGAAAAGGAAACGAAAAGTTTTATACAAAACCATTTGTGGACGACGTGTGTCAAATATGTTTCATGTGAATCAACTCATGTAGACGATAGATCAAAATAGTTTCTGACTCGCTAAAACCACTCAATATTCCAGAAATACGTAATATTTTGTGTTATTTATCATTATCATTAACGACTGCAATGGTGAAGAGTTAATGGGATTAAAAGTCATTAAACTTACTTTGCTGCTAATGAGGTATTTAGCATTGAGAGCCGTTGCTCTTACTTCTGCCTTTCATCCTACTTCGTTCGTTCGCGTATTACACAGTTAGACATGGATCTCGCATTTTGCTCTTCTGAAGAGTGAGAGCCAAGGTGAGATGTAAAGGTCCATGGCTATAGCCAAAAGAGTATTAGGGATAAGCATGAAGTCCCGAAGATATACTTACAAAGAAAAATACCCATAATGCTACGGGAGTGAAGATATTGAAGAAGGGAAAAGTGGCGAAGCGCAAGACTTCAAGATGCTTCAGGCATCAATACTATAAGAGTTCAGAATGTTTTCAAAGAGTTCAGATGCACTCAAACGACGTCAGAAGGATCCAAGAGATCTCAGTAGACTTCGTGAAACTTCAAAAGAGTTTATGGGACCTGTTGAGACTTATGCGACATGAAGAAATATAAGAGGCTTCACAAAAGTTTCTTAAACTTCGAAAGATCTCACAAGGCATCATAAGACAGCATGAAACTTCAGAAGATATTCAAAACTATAATTCGAAGTCTTCCAGAGACCTTCTAAGACTCCAAGAACTCATAGGACCTTAAGACATAAGTTTCTGCACTTTTCCCGTCGATCAACACATAAAAGCATAAGTGTACCGATAAAGGTTTCGGCATATAGGGATAAAGATATAGTGACAAGAGTAAAAGTATAAGGAGATAGTCATAAGAATACAGCTATACAGAGTTAGATATAACAATAAGCGATTAAATAAATGAATAAGGGTTTATGTATAAAAATAAGGGATCGGATATGGTTAAAAAGTGCTAGACACAGTTATGATGCATTAATTATAGATATAAAGGGTCGATATAGTTATTAGGAATTAAGTATAGGAATAAGGTTTTGAGCTCCCCCCGCCCCTCTCGAACCGGTCGCAGGCCCGGTAGATGCCTGCGACGTGAAATTTGCGTAGACTGTGCCANGTTCTATTTCGATTCGAAATCCAATCGACGAACCATAGTTGTTAATTCTTCCCTTATGAGATCCATTCCAAAGGTAGTACTTTTGAATGGATGTGGTAGCCGACAATCTTGTCTGCCACAGAGCAGACATCCATTTCAAAAAGCGATATGGCTCTTTTATGCGGACTCAAATCGCAAAAAGGTGCCGAAACTACGCTCTTATAAGCCAACTGCTCCCTTATCCGAGGCTCTTTTAAGCGGACTTTGTCAGCACACAAAACAATGGAGAAAAAAACGGGAAATTTAAAAACGGCTCTTACAGGCGGATCGCTCCGTTATCCGGAGCTCTTATAAGTGGACTCGACTGTACAGAGATATTTGAATCCATTATTTTTAAATTAGAAACCTTGTCAATGTATTGTTTGGTAAATAAAAACTAGAGTATTATGTTTATTTATCTATCAATTATGTATCACCTTGTTTGTTTGATGTTAACAATTTTAATTTTAATTTAATTTTCTACTCTTTTATTTTGTCACACACACACATACATTATTTTTATTGGCGACAGTAAATATTGACGTCAGACAGTTTCCACCAAAATCAACAAATGTTTTAAGAAAAAAATAACTATCGTAGGCGCAAAAAATTCCAAAAAAAGAAGGAAGAAAAAGGAAAAACAAAGACATAAAAATGCGTACGGCAGCTTTGCAATAACATAAAAATATGTTGAAAGAAAAGTGAAAGGAGCATAAATAAAAGAACGAAACATGACACCATGTTAAATATAGTCAGGAGAAAAAACTTTAACAGTCTATTGTTCAACTCATTTAAAGGACTTAAAAGGTAAGCGAAAGATGTTATGTTCAAATTTCTGTTAATTACTAACTCTAACTCTACAGTGGTTATCAAATGTGACTTTGTTCTGTGAATGTTAAGATGAACTATTGGCTTTTAATCATTGATTATTAGTAGTTGCTTTACTTATCATAGGAAGATGGACAATAAATATTTAGTAGACTAGACATGGGACGGGAGAAAGATGTAGATGGACATGGTCTCTATGGTTTGAGAAAAACAAACTGAAAAAAGTTATTATTACTATGTAAATTACAGTCAAAGAAAGCAAACCCTTGAGATAAAAACATTTTGCAGAAAAAAAAACAGATAAATAACATATATGTAACACAATAGAGATTTCATGTTAGAATTACGTTGTCACATGTTGCTTGTTTTCATATGTAATAAAAATCTTTATCAGATAAAGGTCGAATACAAGATGTCAATGGCTTTCATATATGACTTGATGTTCTTTGTTTTTTACTTAAGATTTTACGTTTTTATGTCGAAAGGACAGGAATCAGGACATCCTCTCCTAAAAATATATATATAGTTTCTATTGAATTATTTCATTGAATTGTAAGTAGGAAGGTTGAAGACTTTCTCATTGGTCGCATCCTGTCATCTGTACATAATGAGAAAAGTTTACGGTTCAATCACTTATTCTGCATTCGTAAAAATGCATAGGATATCGAAAATATAATTTTTGTTTTAGAATATTAATTGACAAAACGATGATAAATTTCAACGTGTATTTTGTTTTTTTTTGCAGAGACTGAATTTACAATTTTGTTTTTAATTAGAAAGTAAATATGAATAGTGGTTTTTTTTACCAAGTAGAGTTCTTTTTCGTTCTTTCCAAACAACAATTCGAAACATTTTATTGTTGACAGGATGAAAAGTATGACACATAAATTTTTATCAGAAAGAAAACGGAAAATTCCAAGTTCAAGTTTCGAAAGAAAAATAAGAATTTCAGTGTAAATGAATTACTGAGAAGAGAGAGGGAGAGAATATGTCAATGTCTCAACTATTATTTGATCAGAACAAATCGATCTACGATTGCATAGATATTCATGTTCATTGTGTTCTACAGTAGATCTTCAAGTTATTGTCTATCATTGTATTAAAATAATTCATTTTTTATGTTTTTTTATTTATATAAGTTTATAGATGCATACAGAAAGTGATGAAAAACAATTAAAACCATGTCTAACAAAAATTATTCAATTAGTTGAAGAATCTCTACAGAAATTTAAGTCATTCCATAAACAAACACAGGTACAATCACAAACTGACAAAGATGATAATCTTTTACAAAATTCTCAATTAAATAACAACATCTATACATTTACATTAAGTAATGAAGAAAATGAACTTCTACAAACTTTAACATCTAATATTGAAACTACTCTTAATGAACATTTTCAACATTTATCACAAATATGTTTGAATTATCTATTAGATTTTCTTTATACATATCATTATGATCGTGTACAACGACGATTTGTTTCACCTATAAGCATTGGTGAATTACATTCATTTGCTCTTGAATTAAAAGGTTTATTAGCTTCATCGGAAGCTTATCCTGCTGCGTACAATGGTCAACTAGATGTCGTTAAAAAATTTATTAAAGAATATCCAACGTTTAAAGATAAACCAGGATTATGGGAAACAACATTATTATATTCAGCAGCACGAAATAATCATTTAGATATTGTTAAATACTTGATTGAAGAAGCATATTGCTCTGCCAATGTTCAAAATCAACGTGATGTTGGTTTTGCATTAGATGCTACCGCTATGGATTACATTCCACGACCAACAGCAGCTTCAACAGCTCTTCATGGTGCTTGCTTTTATAATCATTTAAATATTGTCAAATATTTAATAAAACATGGTGCTGATTATTTCATTCAAAATCAGGCACATGAAACTCCAATAAATAATGGAGAACGACATTTTGAAATAAAGAATTTTTTTCAAGATTATCTTATTATGGGTTATTCTATTGCATCTTCAGAACACTTACCTAATCAACCTATTATGGATGATGATCAACGTCCAATACAAGATTGTATGTGGGAATATAAACCTTTTCAAGATTCTAAATGGTATAACTTTACAGCAAAAGAAGCGACATTTTTACACAAAGCTTTATTACCATCAGAAAAATTTCAAGAAAAAGTTTATTTGAAAGTAACGAAAGGTTTATATAGCGTATCAATGCTTGAATTTTTACGATTAGGAAAACATGGACAAGATCCACAAAAAAATATGGCATGGATTCGATGTCGTGGTTCCAGTGTTTTAAATTTTGATTGTTATTCAATCTGGCAAATAATGTTAATTCAACATCCGAAAGTAAACGAGGATGAAGATAAAACTCCATCGTTAAAAATACAAGATTTTCCTGCTATGGTTAGTAGCCGTTTTAAACTTCAATTAAATTCTTGGTATAGTTGTGGTGACAAAACGAGTTCATTATTAGATAATTCTATGAATTATCGACGAAAAATTATTTCGATTAATATTGCTGACGTTGGTGATGATTTGACATTCAATTTACAAACATTTGAATTTTCCAATAATGATAAAACAATTGTTGGATATATTCGATGGATTCCAAAACTTATATCCAGCATCGACAATAAAGATAAAAAACTTGTATATATTGATAATTACCAACATATGGCAAGTGTACAACCGATTCCTTTAACTACAAAACGTTTGAAAGAAACTTCAAAAATGAAAAGTACTGATCAAAAACAAATGAATGATATAGAAAATCAAGATGATGAAGATGAGAGCGGTTTAGAAATCGCGACAACATTTGGAGCAGGAAATGATGATGAAGCTGATGATGACGATTTTGAAAATTCGGATGATAAAAATCAAGTAAGTTAAGAGAATTACTCGACCTCATAGCAAATCTAAAATTGTCACTAACTTTTACTAAATCTTTGGTTGCTGATTTTTGACAAAAATCACTTATGACAAATAACAGAAAACAGTGATTCACTTATATGAAGAATAGTTGAAAATTGTCACTAGAAAAGCCGATACAAGAGACAAAAAAAACGAGAAATGTTAATGCAATACTACTAACATTTTCGAGATTACTGTGACAGGGACTGTTCATTTCACCCCAATCAAGTATTCTTACGATCATCTTCAACGTCACCCTCATCCACTCATTAGAAAGTAAATTTTTGATTTCTTAGCTATGTTTCGAATGATAGGATTCAAAAGAACAGATAATTACGTTTGTATTAATTCAATTTCACGTAGGTGTTTTCCAATTTGTAGAAACTTCTAATAATTTTTATATATAGACTTCAAAATCAGTATCACTTTGAGACAGTGGCAGCGTCACGAGGAGCCAACGTGGGGTTAATCCCGCCGAAAATTTTCAAAGTTGCTGCTAAAGGTAGTTCTATAGAAGAACTAAAGGAGAGTTCAGCTCCTCCATGAGCAAAAGTTCTGGCACCGTCGCCACTTTTTGCTATATTGAAAAGCTCATGATTAAATACTCAACTGACCTGTGCTTAGTGAATGTGTTATACTTGCTATACTTCTTTGAGATACTCAGCAAATCTTATTAAGAGCTTTTGACTTGTACCGACGTGCAGACTTCCATTATATGGTTTAATAATATTTCTTAATTCAAATTTTAGACATCATCCGAAAATACTGGTACTTGGAGTGTAACTGATCTTAACGATGAGATTACGTTTATCAACTCTGCTCCCGATGTGTCACCTCATGCTACTACGAATATGATAGTTCGTGAAGAGTCGAAAATTTCAGAGAGTTTTTTTCATGAAACTTCTGATGATATTAAGCAGCCAACAGTCATTGAAAGAGCGAATTCTACTTTAAAAGCTGAAGCAACAGCTAATCTTACTGCGCAATTAGAATCAGAAATTCAAGAATTAAAAGATCAAATTGAAAAAGAGAAATCAAAAGTTGACAAAGTAAAACAATCACAAGAAAAAATGACAAAAGAAAAAGAAAAAGAATTAAAACAAGTTCATAAATTATTAGAAGAGCTTCAACAACAATTAATCAATAGAAAATCTCATGAACAACAATTTAAAAATTTATTTAATCAAATAATAGCTATCGATTATGACAATATTGAATCGATCATAGCCAATATTTTTCTATTTAGCAAAACTAAGCACATTACTGATCATCTTAAAAGTAAACATCCAATTGACGCATATTTGCCAGGAATACCAAGTTTAATCATCACAGAAAAAAATGGCTATTATTGTATATCACTAACGGGTATTAAAGCACATCATGATGAATTCAAACTTATTCTAAAACGAATACAAACCTTATCAAATGCTACTAAATCAGCTAAAGCGTTTTATCAACGACACTTAAATTCACAATTCCAATCGATTAATCATATAATGGCACAAAAAATTCGTCCTTCACAAGATTGGAAATCTTATACCAAATATTTTCAACAATTAGTTAAAAATAAAATTGACGATTTTGTTAAATTATATGATGATTACATATCAAAAAAATCTAAACTAATGGTAGACGAATGTATAACAGATATTAATTTTCAATCACAGAATCAATTGCGAAAATTAACCGAAAAGTACATGAAGAAAAAACAATTTCTACCGGAATTAGAAATTTGTAAAAGTGAAGCTTTATATGAATATATAAAACAACATGTTCTATCAGAACGATTAAAATTTGAAAAGAAACCATCAAAAAAATCTCTTGATACTATGAATGAATTTATTGATAAAGTAAAAATAGAACTCAAAACAAATTCAATCTATAACGGATGCAATTTAGAACAATTTAAAGAAATTCCAAAATTATTACAACGAATTATGTTATATTACCGATGTTTCCTTCTACAATTACCTTTATATGAATCATCAAAAGGTTTATTAGAAAAAATTGAGCGAAACACAGTTATTACAATAGCAACATCCACTGGATCAGGTAAAGTATAGGAGATAAGATTAAGAGAGCCAATATTTACTAAAAAGGAAACCTCTTCAGATGTCCCTTTCTGATTTTAATATTTTTTCTCTCATAGATACTGCATAGGGTTCTAATAAAAACCTTAAAAGTATTTGGATTTATATTGTGACTTGCCTAAGCTATTCAATTTTTAATTTGTCGAATCTCTCAAAGCTTCAAGCTTTCGGAAAATTCGTATTTTCGAATTCCGATCTGAAATTCTGCGCATATATGGAACTCAACTTGAGTAACTTTCACAAAACAATTCATAAATTGTGAATAGAATCTCTTTGAGCTAAGAAGCTTTCAAAATATAACCTCTTTTCCATGTACAGTGTGTACACAGCATGCATTTTTTCAAAACTTCATATTTCGACTCAAGTCTCAATATGAATCAAAATCTATTTTTAGGGTTTTTATTAGAATACAATACAGTATCTATAGGCAAAAAATTATTAAAATTGAAAGTGGACATCTAAAGAAGTTCTGACGAGAAAATGCAAAAGTTTAGTTTACAATTTTGATGATTAGTTTCACTAGGGGTTTAAATTCATTATTTTATCATCTTAGGTAAATCCAGCTTATTACCAGCTTTGTTGATTGCTGAAGATTATGAAAAAGTCATTGTTACTCAACCTCGTCGATTACCTTGTACAGCAATTTGTAACCGTGTTAATGAAACTATGACAACAAACAAAAATGAATTTAAACTTGCTGGATGGGCTGTTAGTGGTGCTGAATGTGATGTCAATGCTCGGATTTTATATTTAACAGATGGTTTATTAAAAGAACGTCTGTTACATGATGAAAATTTGATTGGAAATCAAAAAAACAACAATAAGCCTATTGTATTTTTTGTCGATGAAGTTCATGAAAGATCAATTAATATTGATCTTTGTTTAGGATTATTTGCTCGTCTTCTAGCAGAAAAACCTGAACTTAAATCAAAAGTGAAAATAATTATTTCATCAGCAACATTAGATTCATCTGTACCAACATTGTTTCGTAATATACCTCAATTAAAATTTGATGAATTTCACATGCCAATGTTAGGAACATTATATACTGTAACAAAAATTGAACGACCCAATCAAAACATATTGGATTTAGTACAAGAATTATGTAAAAAAAAACAAAGACATGATCAAATATTATGTTTTGTTAGTAGTGTATCAGAAGTAAAGCAATGTTGTAGTCTCTTAGAAGAAATTAGTCATGGAACAATAACTGCTTTTCCTTTGATTCAATCTCAATCAGCAGTTGATCAACAGAATAATATTGAACAAGGAAGTATTTTCGTTTCAACAACTGTTGCTGAAACATCTCTTACATTTCCATCATTAAGATATGTTATTGATACAGGAATGATTAACATTCCTGTTTATGATATTGACAAAAAACAAACAACTTTAATGGAAGTACGAGCAGCTGAATCAACAATTAAACAACGTTTAGGCCGACTTGGACGAACTAAACCAGGTGAATATTATTCATTATATGATTTTAAAGTTGAAGATAAAAAATATCCAACTCCACAAATATGTCAATCACAATTAGTTAATATTGAATTTTCATTAAGAAAATCTTTAATTAAAAATGGACTTAATTATATGAAAAAATTCTTACCAGATTCACCGAAACCACAAGCAATTAGCTCAGCAGTAGAAGAGTTAAGAACATTAAGTAAGATCTATCTTAGAAATAAAATTTATTTTCAAATTAGTATTTTTTTTTGCTTTAGATATCTTAGATTCACAAGATAAACTAACATCAGTTGGTGTTGCAATTTCTAAATTACCTGATTTTGGTTCATTAGCTATGTCAAAATCTATTCTATCAGCTTTGAATCAGAATAATTGTGGACGTGATCTTATTGTTCTTTCATCGATTTTAGGTGTTTTAAATACATCATCAGTGTTAAAAGCGATACCAGATTCAATGAAAAAGCCCGAAGGTGATTTTATGACTTTATTAAATGTTATGAATGAAATTCTCTTAGTAAAAAAAAGTGTACGTGCTCAACAATTTAGATTATCTAAAGTATGTCAAGCTAAAAAGTTAACAGCAATCTTACATGTCTTAAAACAAGCATTAAGGCGATATGAAAGTTTGGAAAAATCATTTAATCTTTCAAATGAATATCGTGAAAAAGCACAAGTTTCAAGTGATGATTGGGAATTAATTGCAAAATCCTTATTAAATGGATATGGAGAAAATGTATTTGTATCAATGAAAGAATTACAAGGAAAAACTCATTTATTTACACGATATTCTCCTCCAAAAGAAGATGTTGCTGTTTTAGATCTTCAATCAACTCTTACTCGAGCCATAACTTCATCACCTGTTTCACTTGTACTTGCTCGTGATATTCGTTTTTCATCTTCTATTCGAGCAACAGCTGTTTTATCATTTGTTGGTGAAATTAAATCAGCATGGATTGAGTATCGTCTAAACAGAAAAATAACATTAAATACAGCTGAAGAAACAAAATTAAATTCTGATAACATTGTAGCAAATGCGAAAAATACATTTCCCAATGTTCAAATCCAATTGAATAATCATATGCTTAGTCTAGAAGGTTCAGCAGGTTCTGTTCTTGAAGCTGAACTTGATATTTTGAAACATTTAGTTGTTGAAATGAAATTTAATTTAACAAATGAATATTCACTAAGTGCAACAGCTGATTATCAACGTATGAAACGAAATCTTGAAGGTGTTTCGAAAATGCCTTCAATATTCAATCCAATGAAATGGCGATGGGAAGCTCAACATCAAGTTAAAATAACTGTTAATAATAATACCATAAATAATGAATGTGAAATAACAATCGAAGGACGAGATTCACAAAATCAATATGCATACAACGAATTTCGATCGTTTTTGAGTTGGTTAAAAAACTGTGCTGTTATTCGACATCCTAACGCAGGTAAGAAAACAAAATCATTGCAGCTCTTTGAAGACTAAAGTATAGAACTCAGATGTGTTGTTTAGTCTCACACTTATACAAATCACGTTAAGTGAAAAGTCCTCAGCAAACTTTAACTGTTTTGCAAGGATAATTGATCACCAATGAAACAACATGTTCTTCTTTTGCTATGGAACTCTGAGAAAGGAGTTTGACATTTGCTGTTCTCGATTGCTGTAGAAGCACACCCTATGGCCGTTAAACTTTATCCCCCCTCCATTACTTTGATGATGAAAGTCACAAAACCTCTACTTAAAACAAACATTCACTATATTTTTCTTGCAGAAATAAATGTTAAATGAGTTAACAATATGTATGATTTCCATTATAGGTGTTCCACCACGAATTCTTAAACCAGCTATGCGTAAAACATGTCTTGATATTGAAGAAAGAATTTCCCATATTACTGATAATAAACGAACATCGATTGAATTATGGAAAAGTTTAAAAGGTTCAACAGCAACACGTGAAAGTCGAATGGAAGTTGTTGCATGGATAGCTATCTGTAAATTTGATTGTCGACTTGAAGGTGGTTTTGTTCGTGATTGGGTTGTTGGAAATTATTCAGCTCGACCAAGTGGAGATTCATCAACATGGTTACATTATAATCCTAATGCAGCTGGTACATCACTTCCTTATTTGAATAAAGATTTCATTCCATCAGATCTTGATTGTCATTTACCATCACATAAATATTTTGATATTGATAAATTTTTGGATAATTTACATAAATATCAAATTGAATATAAAGTATTTCGAGAAGATTGGCGTTATATAATATTATTAGATGAAAATACTAAAACTGGTCCATTTACAATGGATTTAATTGAACCTCATGTTGCTTTAACACATGATAGAATTGATTTTGATGTTAGTAATTTATCATTAGAAAAGGATTATACAAAAGAATTAGGAATGAGAGTTGATATTACATATAAACCATATTCAATTGAATTAGAAACTATTGTTGATAATATTAAAAATAAACGTTTTCAAGTTTTACGTCCAATTGATAAATATGTTCAAGGTCGTATTGATAAAATGAAAAATCGAGGTTGGACACAACTTGGACAAGCTATGCATGTTATTCCAAATCCACCACCAAAATATCAAGTTGTTCTTGTTCCTTTACCTGAATCAACTGAATTATATAAAACATTAGTTCAACAAATGAAATCTTATATTAATAATCAAGTGCAAGTATTATCAATTGATCAAATTAAAAATCCTTTATTAGAAGACGCTTATTTAGCAATGAAACAATTAATTGCTAAACAATGTAAAGGACAAAATCCCAATGAACGTGAATTATTTCATGGAACAGGCGGTGATGCAATTGATGGAATATTAAATGATGGATTTGATGATCGATATTGGGGAACTAATTTTGGAAAAGGAAAATGGGGTAATATATACTAGAAAAAAATCGTTTATTGTCATTTTTTTTCTTGTTTTCATGTTTTTTAGGTCACGGTGCTTATTTTGCTGATAATCCAAGTGTTTCACATAGATATACTGAAGCCAATCCGACCGATCAGACACGTATCATGTATTATAATAAAGTTGTTTTAGGGAAAGAATCAATACTTCATGAATTAAATAGTGAATTAATGTCTGCACCAAAAGGTTTTCATTCAATACATGGGCAATTTCCAGGTGAACCAAATAACGATGAATATATTGTATATCGATATGGACAAGCATTGCCATATTTAAGGATGACTTATACGGCATAGCTTTTCTCTTAGAAAACGGTTTGAACTTTTTTATGACTACATTCTTATGTTACACTTGAAAACATATTTATTGTACTTTTTTTCTTATTTCCATTCATCAAATCTATTATACAAATTTTCATTAATCAGGTCTCAAAAGAAACTGCTTAAGGTGTTGGTGTTGTTTTGGGCGTGAAAGTGGATGTTGAATATGTGTGTCAGCGTATGAGCAGCGAATAGTTACAGCCACATCTCATCATCGAACCCGCAAGCCTACACCAAAAACCAAAGCATATCGGGTATCCCAAGAGTTAGCCAAGACAGTTTATGAGTGTGCGCCTTCTTTTCATTAACATCCGCATTCAAATCAAATATTCAACAAAGTCATTCGAAACCGAATTAAATACTTGAATGAATTCGAAAATTTCTGATCGTTGAGTTAGAAGTGAATGAAAAGTCAATGAAAGTCATTAGATGCTTGGAACTCGTAAGGAAATATCGGTATTGTTGACTACATCAGCTGTAAAGTTTACTATTATATATATTCATATTGCAAATTAACTCATTAATCAACATAACTGTTCACAATCTGTTTTCTAAGCACGTTTATTCATCGTCTAAATGTGATAGATACTAATTCAAAATCAGTGATTTCTCGTATTACTGATTGATCTGCTAATAAATTTCAAAACGAAATGACAGTTATTCAAATGCGAATATATTGGTAATAGTAAAAAGAATACAATCTTGGAGAAAGTTTGATCATTAGAACGTTTTTCCTGTTAGAGAATTAATTCTGATCGATTTAATAATTTTCATGGGTTTCTTTAGAAAAGAGAAGAATCTTTCCCAATGCTTAGTAATAATTTTCTACATGGTTTGTGAAAAAAAAGAACAGTTTTTGTTTTATTTTCGACGATTCGAATTCTTCTTTTTCATCTCTAGCTGGAGAAAGGCTGAGTTCTGCACTTTGATTAAATAAGATGTTCCGTCACGTAACACTATTTCTACTACATAGCTTTCTCCCATAAATTCGTGACGTATTGCTTCGATGAATTTCATATTTTTTTCGAGAGTGCCGACATTTTTCGAACAATTTTCGTAGGATACCATATTTGCTAGCATTGCTGGATAAGTGTCTTGAAAAAATTGAGTAAGTCGAATTCGAAATAGATTTTTACCCGTAATGCAGGATTGAATGGATATAAGAGAAAGTTGATCGATTTTATAAAGTATCCGAATGCGATTTTGAGAAGATGTCAATTCGAAATTGATCGTATCGTCTTGTTCAAGCAAGTGACTGAATCTCACTACAGAGCTAGGATTTGCGATACAAACAAGATTCTACTCAATACATTTGTGGCGAATCAAGAGTTACCTTCGATTTGAACTGAAATTTGTCTTTATGCAGAAACATTGAAATCAATGATTAATCTAATTTGATCATTTTATCTTCACTGCAACCCAATATGTGATCACTACTGTCATACTCGTACTCGACAACTTTTTGTGGTGGTAAACAAACAAGAATGAGTGATGAGTCTTCATCAGTTACATCGAACATAACTCCACGACAATCCATCGAGGTTCGTTCAGTGAAGCAAACCCAACACAGTGGTTTATAAGTGAAGATACGATTCACATGATCATCCAAGCGACAATTCTTGAAAAAGATATTCGTGTCATTCTTGGCAAGCTTCATTAGTTCATCGTACGTTGCCATTTTCGTTGTCAGCAGCACACTTATTTTCTCTATTATCTTGCTACCAAAAAAAGATGTTTCTCCTTCGAGTATTTATACTCCATCTGCTGGTATTTCTTTTTTGTTGCATTCTTATCAAAGTATGACACATTTTGTAAACATATCTACAATATTTTATATAACTTTCATAACTACTGATAATATCATGTTGCCACTATTTACGTGTTGGTATAGATCTTCTCTTTAACCGCACTCGCATCTACATCTCCGCATCCAACATTTTTAAGTTGGCGGTACTTTTTATTCATCTCCAAATGCAGAATCACATCCAAAAGCCACGTAGCAAATATTTTTCTCAGCAGATAGAAAAACCGAACTAATTCGAAAAAAGAATCCTGATCATAAATGTTCACATCCTTTTACGAATATTTGCAGAATGATTTTCGAAAAGGACGAACTGACATAAGAAAGGTGTAGGTCCAATGAGCATTGACATCTGCACCCACACTTTCAACCATGGTTCATAGTTCTGTGGTCGTCTTTTAAAGGTATCACAGATGGTTCTTGTGTTTCAATTCATTTTTGCCACATATATTTCACGTTAAGCCTGCGGACACACTCTTTGAAATATTACTAAAACGCTTTGAATTTAGTATTGAAATGTTCGCTACGTTGCATTCTTTCATTCTATGCATTATTCAATGGTTTCAGGCGTAAAAGAAGTCATATGGACCAAATTAGCTTTTTATGCGTTCCCTTCTCTATTATATTATAAAGTAAATTGTAAATAATTTAGCTTAAAAATAATTCTGATATTTTTATGCTACAATTTCATTTTAGTTTCAATATTAACTTTGATGATTTAAATTTGAAAATTTGTAAACTACATAATTTCGATTTATTTTTTAGTTTAAACAGCGACAATTTAAAATTGAAATAAACTTCAGTCACGATATTAAAAAATTATTTTGTTTCTTCTATTTTCAATTATTTAAAGTTTATTTTTTGTGTCTAACCTCTTTTTCAATATAAAATAAATTTCCTAGACATTGGCGATGAGAAAAAATTTTTTGACAAAATAGAAACAATTTTGAATTAGTTCTGTTCCATTTTCGGTAACAAACTCTGTGTACTATGATATAAATTTTTAGTCATGGTAAAATTTGAAAAACTCTGAATGAAGTTGTATTAACTAGAAGTATGTTAGAATGTTTATTGACATGTAGATGTTCATCACTTGATCGCATAGTTCAATCGGTTAGGTGATATATTGTGCGTATTACCGAATTCAATCTGTTTTCTTTTACTTCTATCGTTTAGATTAGTCCAAAATCGATCACAACATAAGACCAAATTTCGTAGTATGCAACGTAACGAACGCTTCTTTTTTTGTTTAAAATTATTGTTTTTAAACGTGCATTAGAGCGGCATCACATGGCTAGTCTTTGCTCAAAAATACTAGACATAACAATTAGAATGACAATCTCTGATTAAGCAGTCTAAACTTGAGTCATGGACAATAAAGGTTTTCGGACTAGTCATGTACTGGGACTTTCTGACAAAAAGACTAGACAACACGTATCGTCATAGCTAGAAAAACAACTAGTCCTTTCACCCGTTGTTTGTTCGCCTGGGAATGACTAACCTTGAGTCTTTATTGTTGTAGTCTTAATACTATTCGATTCTGTATTAGCATTCGTCAGAATTATTGCCATACGTACTGAAAGTGCTGCTGTGAGCATCAGGCACAAGCAACAGATGCCAAGAATCAACAGAGTAATTCTGCATTTCTTTGACCTATGTCTTCTGAAATATATAAAAACATTTAAAACATATTCACTTAAACCACAGCAATGTCAAACTAGCCTCTTTTGCAGTGTTCTACTCGGCATAAACCATTTATGTGTCGATTTAGTTTCTGCTCATCATTGATAGTATGTTCCATCAACCCTCATATGGTGTTTACGTTTTATCACATGAACGACATGTGTGGTTCCAGTCGGACCCACATCTAAATGAGTAAGAAGAATCTGATTGTTTTGCGTAATTTTCGCTAGACACCGATGAATCGAAGACATTCATAATGACCTTTTCAGATACGAGTATACTGATATAGATCTTGATATGAAAGCATTTGCAGTTTATAAGACACTTTTAAGAAGGGACTATAATAGCATTACGAATTTCAAATATTATTTAAAGAAACTACAGGTCTGGTTACACCACAAGCTAGTAAATGTTCTCATATATATAGTCACTCAGGGTGTCGTCTGTGCATGAAGTGTCGAGATGAATGTCTTTTTTTTAAACAATACCCGTACCTTATATCTATATTATCATCAGTACTGTTAGAATCTGATGAATCATCTTCTTTTGAAATATATTCATCAGTGGACGTGTCATAGAATTCCGTCTCAGCAACTGAATAATCTGGGTCAGAATTCGACTCATGATTCTCAGAAATATTTTGGTCAAATTCAGTAGTAATATTCATTATAAGAACCTCTCGAACTTTCGTTAGATTTGATTTACTTGTCAGTTTTAATCTAAAAAATCAGAAAAGTGCTGGAATTTCCGTGCTTGGAGAGCTCTTGAAATTCTCAGACTTAATATGTTTTCAAGAAAGAAAACTCCAGAACGATCATTATGACTAGAAGCAATGGCAAGAATGTTTCACTCAACTTGTTACAAAGTATTTAAGACACATGAAAAACAAATATTCGAATCACTATTGGCAGTGACTAATTAAAGAATCGACTAGAAAATAAACTCTAGAAATGAGAGAGTGCATGTTCGACAAGAGTAAAAATCATCTGTATAACATGAAGGTTGTTAGGGGGTTTATGCCGACACATTCTTCAATTTTTTTCCTTTCAGACCTGTACGCATAACTTGATATGGGTTCTATGTATCATTAATAGACTAGCAACTAGAAAAAAGATCGTTCAGAAAATAATAGATATTGCGGTAGCAGTAAACGAAAAACAACCTTATGGGTCCTGCTGAACCGACAACAGCCATCCGAGGGTTAATTCGATGCATTTCTTGCCTGAATAAGTTATACGAACGAACTACGTCAATTCAATTTTAAAAAAATCGAGCAAAACAAGGCAAATAAAATGACATTCATATCGCCGACCTTATAAGATATCTACTTATCTGTTTGTGGGTGTGAGGTTTTATAGTTGTGTCTGTTGGTCATCTCTTTATCTACATTCTCTCGCACCCATGCCCAAGATCTCGATTTACATACCTACTTACACCATCAT